AGAAATGACATCACTCCTGTTTTTCTCCCCTCTTTTCCCCTCAAAAGAAAAAAAAGGGTATTGAAACCAAGAAAATTTGGAATGTTCAAATGAGCCAATTAGTTTCTTAATTTAAATCCCCGTGTGAAGAGTGATGAGTTACCCCTGAATGACGGGTAGTCAAAACGCGAAGAGGGAGCAAACAATACCACTACAAAAAGCATCCCTGATATCAGAATAGAAGCCAATGAGGAAGTAGGCCAAATCACTCGCTGATTCTTAGGCAAAAAGCAACTTTAGACCTTGCATTTCTGTGCTGCGGTCTCTGCTCAGGGGAGAATCCTATTGCTCTGCTCTTGCCCGCAGCTCTGCAGGAGGAAGGGCTGGGAGCACCAGAGGGGGCCGCCCCTCCCCCCGCACTCGCGGAGTGCACTCGCACTCCGTGCACCTGGATGTGGGACTGTATAACTCATGCTGGGGGTATGCACCTCAAAAATGTTTTGGTCCAGGGTATGTTGAAGTTGACCATATACTACAGCAGAGGCAGCTGGCTAATAAAACTAGGTTTTGAGGGAGTCATTTCAAATGACAGCAACAATGACTGAGAAAGCTCAATGAGATGGGCATAGGAAATTCACATTTTATTCAAAAGCAAAACTTAAACATGAAATACAGCCAACTACGCTCCTTCCTTTCGGCGTTCCGCTATCTTAACTGCCGAAGAATGAAAAAAAAATGACCCCAGATTTTTCAAGGTCAAGTACGTCATCAGACGGACAACCTGCAGGTATCAGACCCTCATGGAATCTACTTTACTGAAGTTGTCATGATGTCCTGTTTTTGAGGTATTTAAAAAAATTATTTTGACAGTGGATGACACAAAATGGAGCTTCCTGTTGAGTTTTTAAAACATCAACTTCTGTGGACCCAAGAAGAAATTTAGGTTAGCACCAACTAAAAAGCAGCCTCAGTGGCATCGAGTGAGCAAAGAAAGCTCCTTCCTTTAGTCTGAACATAAGGGGTTACCAATGAGAGGCAGAAGCAACGCTGGGTCGGAGAATGAAGCCCCTGCCCACCATGGTCCCGGCCAGTGCCAGGGGAGGAAGGAGATCCATCTGGTCTCTCTTGGTGTGCCCTTGGGACTCCCAGAGATGTCTGCTTAGCACCCTGGGCTGCAGGAGAAAATCTGTGTCCCTGGCTATGAGAATGCCTATCATGCTAGGAGAGGCAGGAGTACCCAACTCCCCTTCCTCAAAAACAAACTAAAAAAACCCTTTGCCCTTTCTTTCACATCAAGCCTGAGAAGACAGGTGTGGAACCAAAGCACCTGCCAAGCCAGGCAGGCCCACTCCCGATCACAGAAAGGGAGACAGCTGCCTTCTCGACTTGCTTTGTTTGGCCACCAAGGGAAGAATAATACAACACAACACAACACTGCTCAGAGCAGATTATAGCACGGTAAACGGGTCTAAGACAGCACCAAAGAGGGGAGGGGAAAAAAAAGCCAAGAGACTGGAGCCCACCTTGTTTTTGGTTGGTTGTGGTTTCAGAACGTTGATAGCACCTCAGCAAGACAGGATCAGGGACAGTCACATTAAAACACCATAGCACCATTTTATTTAGACTATTTCAATTCATAAAAATGCTTCCTAGTCCACAAAACACACTTCAGTAACAAAAGGAAAGAGATACTGGTTGAGGCACGTCAGGGATATCATAGTTTTCCACCAGCTTTGCCTTGGTTTGAGATCTCATGGTGATTAAACCTCTAGAAGCAAGTCTGGCTGGGTTTCTCTCAATGAAATTAGGCTATCATCGACTCATTGTCAACCATCCTTGCACATCTACTGCTGTGTGGTACAAAGCAGTTAAGCTCTGCTACTTCTTTCCTTTAGCGCTTTAAAAATCCCTTGCTCTCCAAACTACTGTTTCCAAAAGAGGCTGGTGGAAGGACCAAGAGGGGGTGGTGGGGTATCATCTCTTTCCACGCACACCATCGTCACCTGGGCGAGAAGGCAAAGCAGTACCCATGAAGCCGGGGCGTGGGAAACATTGGCCCTGCTAAAAACCAGACCCAAAACCAAAAACCAAAAAACCCCCAAATCCATGCAACGCCTTTAGTCAAGATTTCTGATGGTCAGATGATGAGATTTCTTGAGCTAGCACCAGTTATTTTGTGAGAACCTGCTGCGAAGCGATTTTTATTTTAAAAATCTCGTAGCACAGAACTTTACAAGCACTTCCCTTGCACGCAACAGGCAGGGAAAACAAAACAGAGCAGAAAAAGGAACCAAATGTTTGCACTGCACATGGATGGTGTCCGTGGACAGGGCACACTGGGGAGATGACTAAGACGCCATCGGTTTCCGTTGCTATAATATGACTCTTCGAACTTGGTCATGCTGTTAGGTTCTTTAGTTGCAATGGCTTTATTTTTCTTCTCATGATAAAAATGTCTGTTAATCATCTTTAGGACTTAAAAAATGATAGTGCCAGTAAAAAATAAAAATTTGATTTTTCTCTTTAAGAAACCTTCAGCAGCAAGGGGGGGATAAAGAGCTGTGCATAGTTACTTTTTAAATATATGTCTAAAGCATGCTAATTTTAATGACTGAGATTTGAGGTAGGTTAGACATGTAGTGTACAAATCAGCATGGGCTTGAGCACGGCAACTGCACCGCCTAACTCTGGAAACGCCATTCTGAGGGGAGTGGGGACATCCAATGGAGACTGCCTCTTGACTCACCTCTCAGCAGCCTATTTCCTACTGTAGAAACTGATGAACCAAGGCTGTTTGGGCTGGGGGACAGACGTCGCATGCTTTTAGCTTGTATTGGTTTCTCCTTTCATCTAATGGCTTTCCTACCAAAGGGTGATGAGGGGAAGAGTTTATTTAACATACATCAGGAAGATTCACACATGCCAAGTATCAGAATCACCTGGGTTACACTCAGGACCTTCCAAACCAACAGCCAACCTGGGGCTTCCACGGGTCATACAGACGGTCACATTCTCCAAATGTTTCGTAAAATATTGTATTTCTTGCTTAAGATCATTTAAAATGAAGTTTTCAAGGCACCCCCGCATCTACCTAAGCACGGAGTCAAATGAGACCTGCATAAAAGTACTGATGCGATAAGCAAAATAGCATTTAAAGGACCCAATTTTTCCTCAAAACTAGAAAATTAGCATGCTCATTAAAGACTCTGCTTCCTTTAGCTTGTCAAACTGAAGGTCAGAGGTTTTCCTATAAATCTGAGTTCTGAATAATTCTAAGTCCTGATAAGCTCTTGGGTATTTATTTCAAAAGCAATAATATTTCATTTTTTGTCCTGTAAAATAAATGCAACTTTACAGAATATGGTAAAAGTGGAGGATAGACAAAGCACGTTAAATATTCAGCTACTATTTACAATTTCTCCCACAATTACATGTTAAAACATACTTTTTTTTTCAAGTTGCTGTTTAAATCTAGGCAAAAGTGCTTAAAAAATCTTTCACTATTTACAGTTAAAACCAGACCACATAAATGCTCAGGACATCTTACAACGACCCTCCGCCAGTGCCTCCAAACAGATACAGTAAACACCCAGCAGGCCGGTTCTCAGCTCTTACTCAAGGCACCCGGAAGCTCAGGAACTTGCCTATAGCGGTCATCTGATTGTTAAACATGATTCATGAAGACCCATATCTGAATACAGCTGCTCAGTAAACACCTGTTCATCTCAGGGCTTGGTGGTCATCCACCGTGTGGCCACATTCCCCTCTGTGTGTCCTGATGAAGCCCCCCATTCACCACACACACATCCACATGGGTAGCATGAGATCATTTCTGCTAACATCACAAGAAAAACCAACACTCCAACAAAGTTTGACGTGGTGACCGTGAGTGTTGCTCCCATCAGGCCCAACCTCTCTCAACAACGTCACAAAAATTAAGCACCACATTCTCATTTCAAAGAACCGAATGAATGCACCAGAATTTCAGAACAGGTCTGTTAAGGTGGATGAAGAGGGGAAGAAAGGAAAAAAGAAAATGATCAAATGGAGAAATGGCACCAATTAGGGAGGAAAATCATAGCAACCTGTTGAAAATGTTTGACTCTTGCACTTTAAAATTGTTAAGTGTAGGCCCCCGAACCCGATGATAGCATGGAAGAAGCAGGCTCAGGTGTGAGGCATGCACCATTGTCCAATGTGGAAATTCAGGGATCAGGATAGATGCATTAACTGTTGTTACACTGGTCTGCTGAGCTCCTGTAGGATGTGACCTGCCCAAGAGTCAAGAAAGTCCCAGCACAACACTACAGCACCAGGCTCCGCACAGCACCATGCACAGAGCACCACTGGCTTTTCACAGCTTGGGTTCAACTTCCTGTTTTTAAAGATACAGTAGCCCTTTTTCGATATCAGCATAGACTTTGGGGGCATTTTTTTAAAAAAACCTGCCACTAAGACAAATTCCTTCAGCTCAGCATGCATTGGCTTGGCAACGTGGTGGGCGCAGCCCCTAAGAACCTCGCACTCCAGCTCCAGCGTGAGGTGCTGCCTAGTGAACCATAACATCGTGACTCCATAAATAACGGACAGAGGATTCAGTGTGGAGACTAGCAAGCTTGAAGCCATCTACTTCCAACCTGGTTTCTGGGGAAAGCTATGCCAGCATCTCGCAGGGCTGGCCTGGGGTGCATCTGCCCCTCGACTCCAAGCTGGGGACTGGAAAAAGGACCCCAGATGGTTTTCTGCAGACTCTCCCATCCTATCAGAGAGGACAGAGGCTGTCCTGAGGCTGCCTTCCCCAAAGGGAAAGGGTATGTGTCGGGAGGGATGAACTGGGTGGCTACCGTCCGCGATTGGCTCTCGAGGGGCAGATGGCTGAGGACCTCGCCAGTGCCCGAGGGGCTTGGCTCGCCAGACCCAGCGAGACTGGGTGGGGGAGCACTACTGGCCTTTCCTGCCCATCCTTTACCATTACTATTGTCGCTTTTAAAAAATCCAATAAATACACATTTTAAATGGAATTTAAAACTACTCCTTTGTGAAAGGACACTATAAACTTTCTTTCCATTATTGTGATATACAAGGATAGAGTTTTAAAAACAAAGAGAAAATAAAAGCCCCCCAAACAAGGGGGGGGGAAACAACTTGGAGATATAAATATTAAGATCACGGAAAAATCACCCGACAGCCGTAGTTTCTTCTTCAAAGTGCTGGGGAAGTGGGGGTAAGGGAGGGGCGGGTCAGTTCTGAGGTTTGGACCATAAATACATATATATGATATGCGCATCTATATATGTATATAGAGATAAAAAGACTTCTGCACCCCCAACCCGCCCCCAGGTATGAGGGCAAAAGCACCACAGAGACAGCTCGGGCCGGGCCCGACGCTGAGGTACGCTGGCTCCCTGGCACCTAGATCCAGCGGCTGTAGGGGCCAGTGACCTTCGTGTAGGCATAGGAGGACACGGTGACCGCCGAGTCTGTGGGCACAGCCAGTGCCTGCCGGGTGGGGACAACCCCCTTCTTCTCCTTCTGCTGGGGCTCAGCAACCATGGCGCCCCCCCACTTGCGCTTCTTCCCGTAGAGCTTGGCCTCCTGCTGGCCCAGACCCAGCCGGGCGGCCTCCTCCTGCCGTGCCCGTGCCCTCTCCGCCAGCTGCTTCATCTTGGCTTCCCAGAGGGCCAGCCCGTGGTTGGGCTGGTTGAGGTTCTTGTGCTGGTAGAAGACCAGCGAGATGCGGGTGGGGTGGCAGCGGTTGGGCTTCTTAAGTGGCGTAGTGGCATGCAGCTCCCGCCGGGCACACTCGATGAGGATGGAGCCGTGGGCTGGGGCCACGGCCACGCCGCCGATGTTCTCGTCCAGGAAGTTGTGTTCACTGTCCGACCACAGCTCCTCCTCTTCCTCCTCCGCACCACCACCACCCTTCTCCTCCTTCACTGCTCCCTTGCTGGGGGGCTCCTCGGCCGGCCCCTCCTCCAGGCTGAAAGGGTCCCACAGCTTCTCCTCCGACTTCAGGGCCCCAAACAGCTTCTCGCTGGATCCCAGGGGCAGACCAAAGGACTGCCAGGCCTTGTCCAGCTGGCTGGCCCCTGCAGCTGGAATCCTGCCCTCCTCTCCTTTCATGGGGTTCCACAGCTTGTCTTGGAACCCAGGACCACCTTTCAGGGCCGAGTTGAAATCCCCTGCCCCCAGCCCCCACGGCTTCTCAGTCAGGCCAGGCCCAGTCAAGGTGGAGGTGCTGTTCCCAAACTTGCAGGGGCTCCACGGTTTGCCTCGCAGCCGTCCTCCAGAGTGGGAAGCCGCCTGCTGCCCCTCGCCGGGGAACAGCCCCCACTGGCCATCTGTGAAGTGGGAAGGGGCCAGACAGCTGGCTCCAAAGGAACTGAGCTTGTCAGGGATGAGGGCAGGACTCTCCCCAGACGAGAACACACCCCAGCTGCCACCCACACTGTTAGTCCTCTTGGGGGACATGCTTGGGCCTCCTGAGTACTGTCCCCAAAGGTGACTGGGTCCTCCATTCTGAGACACCTCAGGCAGAGGTGTCTTGCCCATCTTGCCAGCGTCTCTGGGCACAGGCTCGGCCTGGGTCAGCGGGTCTACTGGCTCTTGCTTGATGGATCTGTTGTAGCAGTTGGAGCTCTGGGCAAAGGGGGAGGGGTCCCTGGACACTGAGTGGATTGGGGGGGCCTTGGGAAGTAGATACTCCTTGGGGCCTGGGTACGCAGGCTGCTGGTGGTGAGGAGTGGGGTGGTGGGCGTCTGTGGGAACAGCCTGGCTGGGCAGCTCGGCAAACTCAGCACCACCGTAGGCCGGGCTCAGGCTGTTGTGCAGAGCGTGGAGGTCTGGCTTCTTCTCAAAACTGCCACTGCTGCCACTGTGCCCCCAGGCACCAGGACCCAGGAACTGAGAGGGGAAGACGGGGTTGCTGGATGGAAAGCCATAGTAGCCAAAAGACGGGAGAGCGTACTTGGAGTGGAAGCCATTGACGGAGGTCAGGCTGGGCTGTGCATAGTAGGAGTGGTAGGAGTACACGCTGTTCATGCTGTAAGGGTCAGAGGGCCGGCAGTTGCCCAGCACCGAGTAGCTCTCCACCACTGCGTTGCTGCTGTACTTGAAGGAGCTGAAGTGGTTCTGCGGCTCCACCTTGAGGGAGGGCTTCAGGCCTTGCTGGGACAATCCACCCTTCAGAGACAGGCCTGGGGAAACAGAAAGCAAGATGGCAGAGGGGCAGACACCACCACACCCTGGAGAGGCCCTGGTGGGGAACTGGGGATGGACCCTCCCTTTTTCCCAGGGATGTTTTCTCTTTTGGGACAGGCAGGTGAGGTGCTAAGGCATGTCCAGCCCAGACCAGGACGTGCTCCCTGGGCCTCGCTCAGCACAGGCCCAGCCCCAGCCCCACTGGGGGTGGGAGGAGGCAATCCCTGGTGAGAAGCAGCTCATGCAGGGTCCACAGTATCCCCCTGACTCCTCTCCTCACCCTAGAGAACTCTAGAATTTGCACTAACCCACCACCACCCACTCTCTGCCCAGCCCGGTCAGGATCACTGCAGGGACCAGGGCGAGGAGAATGAGAACTCAGATGCCTGCCAGCAACTGTCTCTGCCCATAAGCCCCGCCACCCTGGCACACACCCACGTGCCCTGAAGTCTGCTACTCACCTATCTCAGAAGGGAGCAAACTAGAGCACAGAGGGGGGGGCCTCTGATTCTCCGAGGGATGCAAACTAAAGGGGAAACCCAGTGCTCCCCCTCTACCAAGCTCAGTTCCATGCAGATAACAAGTCCTGCTGTACTTGTGTCCCCACGGCCTCCTATCAGGCTGGCTGTCCTGTGGCTGCTGCAGATACCTTTCTGACTGACAAATAAGCAGAAGCCCCAGTTCCAGTGTGATGCAGGAGGGTGCGTGGAAGAGCCAGGGCCCCCATGAGGACAGCACCAATGAGACTCCCAGCGGGCACCCTCCCCCCACACACCTGGGTCCGACGTAACGCCCGCCAGCTCCAGGGCCTCCTGCTTGATCTTCTCCGGAGTGCTCAGCTTCTCCTTCTGAATCTTCTTCTTCTCGGCCGCTGCCTTTCTGGCTTCCAGCTGCCGCTGGCGGCAGGACTTGGCAGGCTCGGGCAGGCGTCGGACCTCGCGGGGGAAGGCGGTGAGCACCTGGATGGCTCCGCTGCCAACCTTTGCATTCTGGTTCTCCTCGCTCCCAAACTCATCCGTGCTGGCCATCTTGTACAGGGGCAGAACGTGCAACTGCTCATCCTCGGGAATCTTGCCCACGCAGCGATTGTCTTCCTTGGTCAGGGTGCAGACCTGCCCCAAGCAGTAGGGGAGAGAGGACATGGGGTTGGGGGACCAAGTGCTGGGAGAGAGGGGTCTGAGCACCCAAAACACGTGACCTCGTCTTTCCCCACACAATCCCAATACCAGCCACTACTACTTGTGAGAGTTTCTGGAAAGCACACTGATCTTGGTTCATGGGGCAACAGTATTACCAGCATTTACAGTCCACTCATCAACTTTCAATGCACATTATCTCCTATGATCCTAAGAAGGCTGAGAGGAGATGAGATACCTGACAAGGTGCCTGGCCAGGACCTGGAGGCTTGCTCTGCCCTCTGGCATAGCACTGACACCACAGCACCACGTTGCCCAGTGAAGCTCAGACCGTCCACCATTATCTTCCTGGTTCTAAACACTCAGTCTCCTTTTGCTCTTAAAGTACATTTCCTTTTGGGAGGCCAAGGCGGGCGGATCACCTGAGGTCAGGAGTTCGAACCAGCCTGACCAATATGGTGAAACCCTGTCTCTACCCAAAATACAAAAATTAGCCAGGCATGGTGGCGGGCGCCTGTAATCCCAGCTACTCGGGAGGCTGAGAAAGGAGAATTGCTTGAACCCGGGAGGTGGAGGCTGCAGTGAGCTGAGATCACGCCACTACACTCCAACCTGGGCAACAAGAGCAAAACTCCGTCTCAAAAAAAAAAAAAAAAAAGTTTCCTTTTATTACAAACTCTATGTGCTGATTGTAGAAAATTTAGGCAAGCAAAAAGGAAATAAAATCTCCCATCCCACCACCCAGAAGTAATCACTTTAAATACCACGGTCATCTAATTGTGGACATACACAAGTACACAATTACTTTTTGGTAATTAAAGGGGATACTATGCCTATGGTCATATAATAGCTTCATTTTTTTCTTAACATAGCATAAATATGTTCCTGTGCATTAAATATTCTCCCCTAATATGATTAAAGAGTTATGTGATATTATTCTACTGTATCAATGTGTTAATCTCATTATCAAATATTTCAACTTGTTTCCGATTTTTTATACTATAAACAATACCTTTTGAAATACCCTTTTAGCTAAATTTTGTAAGATTCTTAATTGCTTAGAATGAATGTTAAGTAGAACTGCCACATATTGCCAGACTACCCTCAAAAATGATTCGGTTTTTCACTCATACCAGCAGAATGTGTTTCAACTTTCCTATATTTTTTCCACTAATTTCTTTAAAAACTTTTTGCTCACTGTTAAAATCGATCTCATTGTTGGTGTACATTTCTCACAAGATTTGCCTTTTTATTCAAGTTTACTCTCTACTCTTGTGTTGACTGTATTTTCTTATTTTCTATATTCTTGATGCTCTGGCATTTGAGGTCTTGATCCCAGAGAGGCTGCCCCTCCCAGGGCTACTTAACTCCCAGAGATAGCAAATGGCTCCCTGCAAGTGTGCCTTTGCTATATGAACCAGCAAATCCAGAGCGCACACCCCCAGCCATCTCCTTTATCAAACTTACACACCAAGCCAGTATTTCCCTGGCCTTATAGAGAGAGGGCCATGAGGAAACACCTTATAGCTCAGAGCCTGCAAAGTATTCAAACTGTCCAATCCTAAATTTCCCCAGTGTAGCTACCCTGCATCACCCATTCTTTCCTGCAAAATCCCACCAAGGACTCTGGGCCATGCTCCCACCCTTCCTCTTCCATCTCCCGACTGGCCCGGTGCTCCCCCAAGTGGCCCCGGAGCATGACCTGCCTCCTGTTTCTAGGATCCAAGTATAAACTTCTTTCCTGAAAATTATCCAGGTTCGCATGTCTTACCATATCTGATTAAAATAAATCCTTGGCCCATTTTAACACAATTCTCTCACTGTCTTCCTTCTTTTGTGAGTTTTATGACTTTTGCCCACTACTATATATGACTAGTCATTTTTTAAATCATGAAGTCATCTTTGTATATTAAGGTTATCATTTCTTTATCACTTGTTGCAAATATTGTAGCAGTTGGAGCTCTGTGAATTATTAGCCACTGTTAGTGTTTAGATGACCACCCAGACATCTGAATGTATGTATGTGTGTATGTGTGCACGTATGGCTATATAAAACTACAAATAGGATCACATTACATATACATGCTATTCTGCGATCTGCTTTTTTCTTCTTCTTCTTTTTTCTTTTTGAGATAAGGTCTTACTCTATTGCCCAGGCTGCAGTGCAGTGGTTTGATCACGGCTCACTGCAGTCTCAACCTCCTGGGCTCAAGTGATCCTCCCATCACAGCCTCCCCAGTAGCTGGGACTACAGGCATGCACAACCACGCCCAGCAAATTTTTGGAATTTTTTGTAGAGAATAGGTTTTGCCATATTCCTCAGGCTGGTCTCAAACGCCTGGGCTCAAGTGAGCCTCCCACCTCAGCCTCCCAAAGTGCTGGCATTACAGGTGTGAGCCACCATGCCCAGTCTGACCTGCTTTTCTTTCTTTCTTTTTTTTTTTGAGACAGAGTTTTGCTCTTGTTGCACAGGCTGGAGTGCAATGGCATGATTTCGGCTCACTGCAACATCTGCCTCCCGGGTTCAAGTGATTCTCCTGTCTCAGCCTTCCAAGTAGCTGGGATTACAGGAGCCTGCCACCATGCCTGGCTAATTTTTTGTACTTTTAGTAGAGATGGGGTTTCACTATGTTGACCAGGCTGGTCACAAACTCCTGACCTCAGGTGATCCACCCACCTCGGCCTCCCAAAGTGCTGGGATTACAGGTGTGAGCCACTGGACCCGGCCTGACCTGCTTATCTTAACTCAAGGATAACTCAAGGTATCCAGTTTGTATTGGCCTTCCAATTGTTATTATGGTACTTTATTACACTGAACAGAAACCTTATATTTTTATGGCACTAACTTTATTAACCCTTTAACTTAGAGGCATTCTAAGTGAGTTTGGTGTCATGCCCTACCCAGCTTGTTTCTTCCCAGACTAGTGTGGGTCTTCGACTTCCTCTGCTCTGACCAACCTCCTGTGTACTTTCTGTTGGATTGGCCAGACCTGCTTCCTACCAGTTTGTCAGACTAATGCTATAAACAATAGACCAAAGGAAAAATCCAAAGGATGAGATGTGGCAGAAGCTGTATTTCCTACAAGAGATACTTTAAAAATATCAAAAGGTAAGGGTAGCCTGATTACAAAAATAAGTAAAGTACACAAATAGGATAGTCACAAAGATGAAATTCAAATGTGTAAGAAGAAATAGGAAAAGAATGTTCAACCTCTCTAGTAATAAAATAAACACAAATTAAAATAAGATCATATGTTTCCCACTCAGGCAGCAGGCAAGGATGAAAGAGACTAACAAAATCCAGTGTTGCCAAGTAAGCAGGAGAATTAGTGCCCCAAGCCTGTAAAAGTAAACATCAATGCAATCTCAAGGAGGTTACTGCGCCACTGCACAAATATGTGAGAAGAATGGCCTCTCCCTGTGGTTTACAGAAGGGAAATGTCTGAAAGCACTTACTGTCCATTGATAGGGGACTGGTTAAATAAATGATGGCAGAGCCATACATACAGCCTCAGAAAATGAAGTCCGTTGACACAGAAAGCTTAAGAAAAGCAGGTCACAGAACGGCATGTATATATAATGTGACCCAGTTTGGGTAAAATTTCATAAAGTCATACATGCACACTTACACATTAGGGTGTCTGAATGGATGGTCATGAAACTGTTAACTGGTTATCTCTGAGATTTCAGGCAACCTTTTTAACATTCTTTAAATTTAAAAAAGAATTGTTTAGGAAAAAACAACACTTTTCATTTTGGAAGAAAATACTCCTTTTCTCCACCCCAAACTCTAGAAGCTCTGGGATCCAGATCACCTCATAGTGCTCTTGCTCTCACCCACTTTCCAGGGCCCCCCAGCTCCTTCGCCTCTCTAACACTGTGGGCATGCCCTTTCTGTGTGTGTTTCACCTAGAAATCCTCACAACGGCGTGCCAGCAGGAGCTGTCCCTTCTTGCTTCTCAGTCTTGGATGCAGGGATAGAAAGCAAGTGGAGAAATGAAATCCCAAGGTGGGTCCATCCATCCCCAGGGGGAATGAGCTACACCCGGAATCTGGGAGCCCTTTTTCCAGGGGAATGTGCTGGTGCCTTTACCTCATCCTCAGCCCCTGGAAGCCCTGTCTGCCCAGAACCTGACTAAAAGGCAGAGCAGACAGCCAGCATCATCCCTTCAAGGAAGCCCCTACCCAAGTCCAAACCTCCTCTCTTCTCCATCTGCACGCACTCCCCTGGTGATGGCGTCAGCCTCACTGCTCTAACTATAAACCATGTGCTCTCCAGACCCTCCTTGCCCCCTGCCTACTCCACATCTCCACCTGCACATCTAGCAGGCATCTTGAAACAGGACTCTTGTTTTCTTACTCCTAAATTCAGCCTTCCCCTGTTACTCTACATCTCGGTCCATGTTGCCAACACTCACCCAGATGCTCAAGCAAAAAGCCTTGGAGTGCTCCTCAAGTCCCTGCTCACGTAACAATCCAGCCTGTCTGTAAATCCTCTTGGCAGTCCCTTCCACATCATCCAAAATCTGTCCCATTAACACCTCCCCCGACTCCTGCCCAAGCTGTGTCCCCTCCGGACTGGATGGCGGCCCCAGCCTCCTCCTTTGCCTCCTTCCTCTTATTTCCTCCTGTTCACCTCATTCTGCCCCCACCATCACACACCTCATTCTCTAACTGCAGCAGCAGGAGTGTATCTAACTTTACAATGCAATCTTACTGCTGCCCAGCTGAGATGCCCTCAACAGCTTCCATCACAACCCTGCAACCCTGCCCTGGCCCTCAAGGTTCCCTGTGAGCTGGTCCCTGCCGGCCTCTCCAATCCCAGTCTCCCTGCCCCTTGCAGTAAGTTACTCCCTTCCTGATGTTCCCTGAACATACACCCAGTCTGCTCCCCGCTCGGAGCCTGCACGCATGCTGGTCCCTCTGCTTGGAGCACTCTATCCCCAGAAAGTGGCTCCCTCACTCTCTTGCGCCGTTCACATCTCAACTCAAATGTCCCCTTCTCAGAGCAGCCTCTCATCTAAGATAGCATCTCCTGTTGCTTTATCCCTCACTCTACTTCATTTTTCCCTCTTGGCCTTCATTGCTACAGTACATTCCCACACATACTTGGGCAGGAACTTTGTCCGTTTCATCCCGCAGCATGTAGGGCAGTGCCTGGGCACAGCTGGTACTCAATACACATTTGTCCAAAGAATGAATCAAGGGTTTGTTTGCATTTAAATCCAAGTGTCCACAGAGACCGGGGCCCACGCTTTAGATAACTGGGCACTCCAGGTGCTTGAGGGGCTACATCCTGCAGCATCCCCCTAAGACACAGACACAAAGCTAGCCTTGTCTGTTCAAGGGTTTTCTGGTGATGGTTTTCTCTGGGAGGTGGGCGAGGGCAGGCCATCTTGCAGGGAACCTTTCGGAGTTCTAAGGGTCCTGTCTCCAGGTCCCTCCCTACCCTCAGCCCACCTTTCTGAACAGACCACGGTGGGCTCCCTCCCACAGTTGCCCCACAGGTGGCGCTATGACAGGGCACAGGTTTCCTTACCACGGTGCACCCATTGTAGAGGTTATGCTGGTCCTTGTGGGCGTGGGCACAGAAGTCCATGCAGGCCGTGACTCCTGCGAAGGGCCGTCCTTCCTTCAGCCCCAGACGGCAGTCAATCGCTATTTCCTCGTTGGTCACCTATGTAGATGGCCAAGGAGAGGTGCTCACATGACCTGAGGTGAGTGGCCCTAATTCTGCACCTGGGGAGGCCGGGTCTTGGAACGAGGGATTTTTTTTTTTTTTTTTTTTGAGACCGAGTCTCGCTCTGTCGCCCAGGCTGCAGTGCACTGGCCGGATCTCAGCTCACTGCAAGCTCCGCCACCCAGGTTTACGCCATTCTCCTGCCTCAGCCTCCCGAGTAGCTGGGACTACAGGCGCCCGCCGCCTCGCCCGGCTAGTTTTTTGTACTTTTTAGTAGAGACGGGGTTTCACCTTGTTAGCCAGAATGGTCTCGATCTCCTGACCTCGTGATCTGCCCGTCTCGGCCTCCCAAAGTGCTGGGATTACAGGCTTGAGCCACCGCGCCCGGCCGGAAGGCGGGATGTTAAGGATGATAGTCACCTTGCCCTTTGACTGCAGGAGGGAGGTTTTCTGGCTGAGAGGCCCCAGCTACAAAAACGTTACTTTCAGGCTCTTGTAGGAATTACTTCCTTCTTTGTTATCCCAAGTCCCCTTGCCTTATCTAGGAGATACAACAGGGGTGACAGGGGAAAGAAACTCGGGCCTCACCAGTGGATACCAGACCAGAGGAGGTGGATGGATTACCAGGGGAAGGGGGAAGACCAGGATAGAAGAGGGACAGTGTGGGATGCAGGTAGCCTGGTATAAAAAAGGGGTTTTTATCAAAGAACTACATCATATTGCTTTACTTCTGGACTGGGCTCTTCCCATAAGAGAGCAAGAGAGCCCACTCTCCTACTTCCCAACTTCAGAGCCTGAGCAGAGATGTGGACGGTGACATGTGGGCAACAAAAGGCCCGGGGCCCATTACCTGGTTCTGATAGGCCTGAGGGGCCAGTCGCTTGTACAGGGGAGCAACTTCGGTGGCCAGGTCCTGGAAACTCTTCCGGAGCACTTCTTCCTGCAGAGAAAGGAGCAGTCACACATCCAGAGGAGCCCCGCCTGGCAGACCCTGCACCCCGGAAGTGGACTGGCATTCCTGAAGCATCGTGGGCGAGGCTGGGAGGGAGGTGTCATCCGGTGTCTTTCCGGTCTTTCCTTCAGGAAGGTGTGGTGCTGTGTCCACTTCACAGCTGGGGATACTGAGGCTCCCAGGAAAAGCTGTGGAAGCCATGGCCTGAAGGTCTAGTCATCCTGACGGCTAAACTACTGCTCCTTCAGGATCCCGCCCAGTTCAGCCCAGAACACATCAGTTTCTTGCTTTCGAGTGCTGAACACCCTAAGTCAGAGGTGAAGCATAGTGGGAATGAAAAAGCCAAGAGCAACAACTGTGGATCCTTCCTCCCAGGCTACAGACAGGAAGAGAGAGGCAGGCAGGATCCATGCTAGAAAGTCCATAGCCAGTGCAGGCCAGCCCAGCCCAGAGCCTGTCAGGAGCCAGGGATACAGACTTCAGAGCTCCAGCTGCTAGACTCATACTATACTGTGTTATTCACAAACCACATGTAGCTACAGAAATACAAATGAATATTAATTTTTTTTTCTTTGAGACAGAACCTTACCGTGTCACCCAGGCTGGAGTGCAGTGGCACGATCTTGGCTCACTGCAACCTCCATCTCCTGGGTTCAAGCAATTCTCCTGCCTTAGCCTCCCAAGTAGCTGGGATGACAGGTGCCCACAACAATACCCGACTGATTTCTTTTATATTTTTAGTAGAGACGGGGTTTTGCCACGTTGGCCAGGCTGGTCTCAAACTCCTGACCTCAGGTGATCTACCCGCCTTGGCCTCCGAAAGTGCTAGGATTACAGGTGTGAGCCACCATGCCCGGCCTGAATTCTAATAAAAATTAAAGAAATTCAGTCCCTCAGTTACACTAGTCCCATTTTAAATACTCAGCAGCTACACGTGGCTCCTGTATGGACAGCAGAAAATGTTTCCACCATCACAGAAAGCACTGCGGGACAGCACTGCTCTACGTGAAGCCACAGCCCCTGGTGACATGTGGCAGAGAGCTCCAGGTATCCACAGCCTGTCTGGCCCTCCGAAAACAAGCAGGGCTTGAAGGGCTCCTAGGACACCATGAGCACAGGCACAAAGGGTTTATGAAGAAGCAAGCAGGAAGAGAGGAAAGAGAAAAAGAACCAAGCACACAGAATGAGAAATGGAAGGTGGAGACCTACAGCTCAGCTATACATCCAGTGGGGTGGCCAGGGCTGCCAGCCACTCTTGATCAGGCCAGCCTGGGCCAGTGAGGCTAGTGAGCTCTAGGGAGACACAGGCTTGGGTTTCAATCCTGCCTTCACCATGAACTAGCCACATGGCCTTGAGGAAGCTATCTGCCTCATTTGTAAAGTGAGGGGTAACAGTGCCTAGATCACTGGGGTGGGGGGATCATGAAATCATCTGAGAAACCTGTGAGGGGCTTAGCACGTCGTAAGAGCACAGGAAGTGGCGGTTGGTAGACTAGGGAAAGAATTTGAAAGAAATTAAGCCAATGTCTTTCCATTCCTGGTAGTTCTTAGGTCCTGGTGGCCCCAGGGCTCCATTCATTGAAGCAACCACATCTGCTGCTTGTGGGGGAGGGTGAATCTTATCATAAATAAAAATCTAATAACAAATTAGACTATCTGAAGGTCTATTAGACTATTTTGAAGTCTAAAAGCCAGGTCTGGGGTAAATAAAGAGCTCTGAATTTGAAAATGCTTCTTTTTTCTTATGAGGACCCAAGCTTGGCAGCCAGAGCACAGAAGGTGACATGGGCTTTGGTGTACAGAGGGTGACCCGGCGCCATGGGAAGTGGGAAGTCCTTCTGGTACTAGGAGCTTGGAGAGATTTGGAAGGTTGCGACTTGAGTCCAGATATTTGGATATTTGTCTATATTCTAGCAAAGGAAGCCAGCACTCCACCCGCTCAGGAGCCCAGGCAGGAGGGAGGTGAAATGGCAGACAGCCTGGACAGGCTTGTGCCTTCCTTGCATTTGGAGCTGAGTGGAGACCATTGCTCGGGAGGGCCTTTGCCGTGCAGGCATCAGAGGACGAACAACAGTGAGGAGGCGGCCTGAGTAGATGCTCCGGCTCCCACAGTCTGAGGGTGCCTTCCCCTGTTGTCTTGGGGCTGGGGGAGGCCCTGCAGGGCAGGGGTCTGGGTAAAGAGCCTGCAGAGAGGAGGGCTGTGCCTAGCGGTCGTGCTGTGCCTAGAGGTCGTACTGTGCGGACACTAGTCCACAGCCCAGGGACCAGGCCAGGCCCCCAGCATGGAGACTGCAAGGGCCCGGACAACAGCCCAGAGACGTCTGTCTGGCAGCCAGGCAGGGTGGGAGATGCCTCGGGAAGTACGGCAAAGACCCAGAGGGTGGCCCACATGCCGGAGATGACCTTTCCCGTTAAACCTCACACCCAGAAACGTGTCCTGGGAAGATGGGGGGGAGAAATGACTTCTGAGAGGGCCAAATTCTGACAAGGAATTTGAATATGTATCTTCGATATCTGGAACATTTACCTAAAAGAGATGGTTTAAATTGGAAGAGCCTGGGGGCACCCGTAACTGCTAAGTCTAATTTTTCACACTTGGTGCCCTCCACACACCCCTTATTTCACATCAAGATAAGGTGAGCTTTTAAAAAAACGAAAACAAGTTCCACTGCCTGCGCATCTGAGTCATGGCGTGCCAGTCCTACCTCCCGTTGGACTATGAAGGGCGCCAGGTGAGAAAGGGTGGGAGGCAGGGTCCCCGCCCAGCTCTGCTCACCTCTTTGGGATTGTCCCCTGCGAGGCGGAACTTGCGAGGTGTCTTGCTCCGAGCATATTTGCAGCCATTGAAGTACATGCTCCAGGAACAACCAAAGGAGAAGGAGGCACCGCAGGTGTTGGGGTCTTTGCCTTGGCAAGCGCAGGTCCGGCTGCAACACACAGCACAGGTCAGGGATACAGATGCAGTATCGCTTCGTTCTGGAGTATTCCTCCTCCCTCAAGAGGTGGCCCTGCTGAGCCCTGGCACCCACCAGCCTCCCAGTGACTGAGACTCATCCTTCCCTGCCCCCAACCCTTTTCTCAAGTTTCCTTGAGTAGAAAGCCAGATCTAAGCAGCCTCTTCTGCCCCCACCACTGAGAGCCTGTAGGTTTAACATTGAGTCTGTTGCTGGGAGCAGCACATGGATTTACTGAAGTAAGGGGGAAGAATCTGGTAAAAACCTATTAAGGTTTATACTTTCCCTTAACTCTAATATCTTAACCAGCTCCAACACAGACCACATGAACAGGGAGATGATGTGAGCCCCAGGGTTTGAACGTGCCTATTTCCTATAGCCCAGATGCTAACAGGCCTTTCAACAAAGTATACTGAGATGAAAATTAATGCTTAATACAATCTGGAAACAACTCAAGTGCCCCGAATTGGGGAATGGATAAGCAAACTGTGATAGATCCACACAGTGGATTACGACTCAGTGATAAAAAGGGACGAGCTACTGACACACACGCCAACACAGATGAACACTGAAAACACTATGTTCAATGGAAGAAGCCGGACTCAGAAAGCTACACCCTGTATGATCCCATTTATGTGACATTCTCACAGAGGCAAACCTACAGAACAGGAAACAAGACTGGTGGCTGCCCAGGGCTAGGGGAGCACTTGCTTATAAAGGGCACAGGGTACTTGGAAAGATGGAACTGTTCTATATCCTTTTTTTTTTTTTTTGAGACAGAATCCTGTTCTGTTGCTCAGGCTGGAATGCAATGGCACGATCTTGGCTCACCGCAACCTCCGCCTCCTGGGTGAAAGTGATTCTCATGCCTCAGCCCCCTGAGTAGCTGGGATTACAGGTATGTGTCACCATGCCTGGCTAATTTTTGTATTTTTAGTAAAGACGGGGTTTTGCCACGATGGCCAGGTTGGTCTCGAATTCCTGGCCTCAGGCGATCTACCCGCCTTGGCCTCCCAAAGTGCTGGGACTACAGGCATGAGCCACCATGCCCGGCCCTGTTGTATACCTTGATTGTGGTAGTGGTAGCTATGTGACTGTAAACATTTGTCAAAACTATGTACCTAAGAGGATGAATCTTATTGTAAATAAATATATCTTCATTTTTAAAAATGGGAAAAACTCTAATAAGGGCAGGGTTTTTTTGTTTTTGTTTTTGTTTTTTTGAGACAGAGTCTCACTGTTGCCTAGGTTGGAGGGCAGTGGTGCAATCTTGGCTCGCTGCAACCTCTGTCCCTCGAGTTCAAGAGATTCTTCTGTCTCAGCCTCCTGAGTAGCTGGGACTACAGGCGTGTGCCACCACGCCCGACTAATTTTTTTATTTTTAGTAGAGATGGGGTTTCACCATATTGGCCAGCCTGGTCTCAAACTCCTGACCTTGTGATCCACCCACCTCGGCCTCCCAAAGTGCTGGGATTATAGGCATGGGTCATCACCCCTGGCCAAGGGCAGGTTTTGCAAATATCTTCGATACCTTCTATTTGTGGGGCACATGTACTTCACACTCGCTAACATCATTAGTGCCAGTATATCAACCTGGGGTTTAACAGTGAAGTCAAATTAGCAGACCCTCCAGAGCCAGAGCTAGAACCCAGCTCAAGCAAGATCTGTGGATATGCCTTCCTCAACCACAGTCCTAACTGTGCAAGACAAACAGTGCCGCAGAGAGGGCCCCTAGGAGCCTTCCCCTGGGTTGCCCGCAGTCTCCTGTATTTGCTGCCCAGGACCCTATAGGTGGGCCCTGGCCCTGCAACCCCCTGCTACGTACTCATCGTTGAGGCCGCATCTCCGGCTGGTGGGGTTCCCATACTTCCGGAGGGTGTCAGTGAGCTCCTGGTAGAGGGTGTCTCCGAGGCTACGGGGAATGCCCTCCCAGGCCAGGATGAGGATGACGATCACAGCGTTCTGGCAGTGGTGGCCTGCCCGGTGCCGCACCAGGCAGAGCAGCTTCTCCTCCAGCGTGTGCCTGCGGATCACCTGCAGGGATGCAGGTTGTGAGGGGCAGGAGCCAGGTACCCATGCACCTCTGCATGGTGCCACCCCTCCCTCTGTCACACAGACCCAGGGCGCAGGTCTTAAGGGCAGGGTTCTAGGGACGTCATGCCCTGATGACAGCAATCTCACAAGCTAAGAGACCATTATTAGGGAACAAACAGGGAACATTACTGGGGAACACATGTTTTGTTAGGGAACAAAAACATAAAAGTTATTTATTTAGAGTGACATAAAAGATAATTACCACAAAATCTAAGGTGCTGATGACTTACATAGGCTTAGGAGTAAAAGTACACAGATAAAAACCGTAAGCCAAAATACAGTCAGATTTTTATGTTATCCTAAAACATTTGCAGAGAAAATGCCGCATACCTGTGTGTTTTTACTTAACATGCAAGGGGCTTGGCACTGTGGAAAACAGTCTGGCAATGCCTCCAAAAGCTAAACATAGGATCACCACATGATCCAGCAATTCCATGCCTAGGAATACACTCAAGGGACCGAGAGCCGGACTCAGGCAGATCCCTGAATACCCACGTTCACTGCAGCACTATTCACAACAGTCAAAAGGTGGAAGCACCCCCAGCGTCCATCGGTTTATGAACAGGTAAGTACGACATGGTATAGACAGACAACCAAGTATTACTCAGCCTTAATAAGAACAAAATTATTAAGAGAAACAAAATTCTGATCCATGTTACAACATGGATGAACCCCCAAAACATGCTAAATGAAATAAGCCAGACACAAAAGGACACATAGTGTATGATTCCACTGATATGAGGCACCCAGAACAGTTCCATTCAGAGAGACAGAAAGTAGATTAGAGTTTACCAGAGCCTGGGAGAAGGGAGAATGGGGAACTATTGTTAACGGGTGCAGAGTTTCCGTATGGGATGTTGAAAAAGTTCTGGAAATAGACTATGTTGATGCTTGTACAACAACGTGAATGTACTTAATGCCACCAACCTGTACACTGAAAAATGGTTAACATGTTAGATTTTATTTCTACACACACATTTTTTTTTTTTTTTTTTAAAGAGTCAGGGTCTTACTCTGTTGCCCAGGCTGGATTGCAGTGGCATGATCATAGCTCACTGCAGCTTCGAACTCCTGGGCTTAAGCGATCCTCCCACTTCAGCCTTGTTGAGTACCTAGGATACAGACACATGCCACCATGCCCAGCTAACTTTTTAATAATTTTTAAGAGACAGGGGGTCTCACTATGTTGCCCAGGCTGGTCTTGAACTGCTAGGGCTCATGTGATCCTCCTGCCTCAGCCTTCCAAAGTGCTGGGATTACAGACATGAGCCACTGCACCCAGCCTGTTTATACACTGTTAGCACAATTTAAAAATGTACTACACCAAAAACCATTGAATTGTATGCTTCAAATGTGTGAACTGTATGGTATGAGCATTGTATCTCAATAAAGCTACCTTTTTTTTTTTTTTTTTTAAGCGAGAGTCCTGGGCATCTACTGCTCTGCTGCTCAGGATCCAGGTCTGAGGTCTGGGTTCTCATTCACTCCCAAACACTGTCCTGGTTTATAAAAAGATGTCAGGGCCAAGAGGCCTGGGAGCTGGGGAAGGAGGTGGCTGAAAATTGCCAGAGAATGCCAGATAATTCCGTGGCCAGAGAAGATGCGGGGGCCTCTGGGCAGGGGAAGGATGAGGGTAGACTGGGAAGGGCTCCGAGTGTGAGGCTCAGGGGCAAGGCCTTGAGGCAGGAGCTCCACGCAGGATGGTGAGCAGGGGTCTTACATAAAGAGTTTCATGCTTTAGAAAGGGGACGGGGCAGAAAATCGGGAGAAGGGCAAGATTGGGAGACCAGCTGGAACACCACTGACATAATGCAAGCAAAATGAATAAAGTCCTAACTACGGTGGGGGGTAAGGAAACAGGAGAAAGAATGGATTCCTGAGGCTGAGGGACGAGGAAAAACCCTGAGTGACTTCCACACCTTGTGGCTCAGGAGACTGTGTGGGCGTGGGTGTGGTTTACTGGCGAGTTCACTGGGAGCACCCTGAGGTTGAGGTACTTCAGAGCAGGAGTCTCTGACCCCCGGGGTGCAGACCTGTACTGACTAGGTCTGTGGCCTGTTACTAACTGGGCTGCACAGGAGGAGGTGGGCAGGAGGTGAGCAGCAGGCAAGCACAGCAGGAGGTGAGCAGCAGGCGAGCATCCGTTACTTGAGCTCCACCTCCTGTCAGAGCAGCAGCAGCATTAGATTCTTATAGGAGCACGAACCCTGTTGCGAACTGCGAATGTGAGAGACCTAGGTTGTGCACTCCTTAAGAGAATCTAATGCCTGAATGGTCTTCCACGAAACCAGTCCCCGGTGCCAAAAAGGTTGGGGACCACTGCCTTAGAGCACCTGAGTGGTCTCTAAGGATACCCCACTCCCACCGAGTGGGTCTGGAGGTCAGGAGACGCTGGGTTGCAGACAGACCTGGTCACGAGTGGGTCCATGCTGGGAGACATGACAGGTAATACAAGGGGTAGCCAGGCAGGTAATACAAATGAAGAAGCTGGGCCGGATGCAGGACTACTGGGTGGTGCGGACAGCAGCAAAGTGAAAAGCATCTGCCCACGAACAGGGGGAAGGAAGCCAGGCCTTATTGCCATCAACTACCACGCGGGGGAATTCCAGCCTAGTGAAGCTAATTCTTCCAATTTTGCAAGAAAAAAATGGAAATCCAGACTTTACATAAAATCCCTCTCCAAAAACGTGAGTGCTCCATTTTTTTTTAACTGTGGTAAAATATACAATTTATCATTGTATCATTTCAAAGTACACAGTTTAGTGGCATTAGGTACATTCATATTGCTGTGCAACCATCACAACCACCCATCTCTAAAATTTTTTCATCTTGCAAAACAAACTCTGCTCATTAAGGAACTCTCCATTCTCCTCTCCTGAAACCACTGTTCTACTTTCTGCCTCTGTTTCTCTTTTTTCTTTCTTTTTTTTTTTTTTTTGAGACTGAGTCTCACTCTGTGGCCCAGGCTGGAGTGCAGTGGTGCCATCTCAGCTCACTGAAACCTCTGCCTCCTGGGCTCAAGCGATTCTCCCCACTGTCTCCAGAGTAGCTGGGACTACAGGCGCGCACCACCATGCCTGGCTAATTTTTTGTATTTTTAGTAGAGATAGGGTCTCACTATGCTGGCCAGGTTGGTCTTGAACTCCTGACCTCAGGTGATCTGCCCGCTTGGTCTCCCTAAGTGCTGGGATTACAGGCGCGAGCCATTGTGCCCAACCTACTTTCTGCCTCTGAGTTTAACTGTTCTAGGTACCTCATGTAAGTGGAATCATATAGTAATTATCCTTTTATGGCTTATTTCACTTAATGTAATGTCCTACCCATGCTGTAGCATGTGCCAGAATTTCCTTCAGACTCTGAAAGGATACTCTGCATGCTGAACAAAACACATCTCTGGCCATGAATTCCTGCTCTGAGGCCCAGCAAGAATGGTGCTTCCCCACTAAAGCATCAATTATATCATTCTTTTGAAATGTGTATTTTGGGTATCAGTAACACCTGAACACAGTATTAAATCAGATACTGTGTAGAACTCCCTGTGTGATTGCCTGGATTCCTGCAGATTAGGCTGAGTACATCACGGGCATTGACACACATTTGTGGACACTGACAAGGCATGGTCTCTGTGACTAGGGTTTGCGAGGCACTTCCGCTCCTGGCCAGGAGGAACACAGCCAATCACACTCATGGGAGAGGGTTCAGAGCACACAAGTTACCCAACCAGTCATGGCTGTGACTGAGGCCATGCTATTCTGGCTTCCCAAATGGCAAACACGCAATGTCATTGGACACAAACAGACAGCTATCTGTGGCCCATCCTCACAGGCCCGTGGGTCCACTAAAAAAACTAAGAAAACAGCGCAGAGGAGTTCCCTACCCACACCCCTATGAAGGAGCCTGGCAGGGTAACACACACAAAAATGTCCAAGTCAAAGGCTGACAGAGGCAGAAAAACATCCATACCTGAGTAGAGCAACAGAGACGGCTCCAACTCAGCCACAGACTCCTCAACAGCTCATCCAGCTTCTGAGCAGAATTCCCTGAGCACCAGACCAAGAGTAACACAACCCCCAGCAGAACCCCAACCCTGTCTTCCCACAGCTCCCACCACGGTGCTTGGTTCTAACACCTGTGGCCTCCTAAGTCTGTTTCACTGTGTCCCTAATGAGCCTACAAATACCTGCCTTCTGACCTCTGTGACCTTTACACACCAGTACAGGCAGCATCTCTGGAGTTCTTTCCCAGAGCCCATCTTGCTGTACCAGGTGTTGCCTTTGGCATGCTTCTGTTGTTCTGAGCCTTCAGAGTGCAACCAGGGCACGCCTGGAATCTTCCACATTTTGTACAGGCCACCTTAAAATCACAGATGACCAGAGGGCTCTCTGGGCTGACCCACTGCTTCCTAGGTCATCCTATCAACACACATTTGCTGGGTACCCATGATGTGCCTTCACTGTGGCCCCGAATCCTGGCCAGTCAAGTGTAGAACATGTGAGGCACACTGCTTTAAGCTGAAGGTATGGTTGGGGGCTAGGGAGAGGCTGAAAGAGGCACAAATCCTGGTTGGAAAACAAAAGCCAGGCTCTGGATACGGGACCAGGCAGGCAGGGTGGGGACATGCACAGGAGGCACTGGATGCCTGTACTCACCTGTGGCCACAGAACTGGCTCTGGGCTCATGACACTACACTGCCACCAAGAATAATCCATCCTTCTAAGGATCTGTGGGTCACTTTCCCCACAGGGCAGGAAGAAGGAGCACCCAACCCCTCTCCAACTTCCAAAGGAGGTGGAACTCTCTAAACCAAGCCCTCTTAACAAAAGACAGGGTATTTGGCAGCTCTGTAGCCAAAAGAAAACCCCAGAACTCCACCACACTAAAGGAGATGGCTAGGAAAAAAAAAAAAAAAAAAAAAAAAAAAGCCCTCAGCACTGCCATTTTCTTGCCACTACAATAGTTCTGTGATTGACCACCCCTTTGCTCCTCCCATTAAAAAAAAGGTATTTCCTCTCCTTTTCTCTTCATTCATCAGACATGGGAAGTCCCACCCTCTGCAAACACTATCAGCACCTTCTATACTCACCCACCAGGGCTCGGTGACACCCACGAGCTGTTCCCTACTTGAATGTAACTTCCAGTTCACTGCACCCCACATGCCCTGATCTGGGCATCCGTCCACAGACCCCAGAGCAATGGCATACTGAGGACCAAGTTCCTGCCCCTCCATCCTCCTGCCTTCCTCTCCTAGCCCCAGGAACTGGCCCTGCTCTCTAGGCAAACATGCTCTTCCCAGCCCTCAGTGGGGCCACATGAGCCCTGGGCAGGGCTTATTGCTTTACCACTGTATCCGGGGTCTAGAAATGCATCTTCTTTAATGCCACCCACAGGACCAGCTATTCTGTAAGGGGCCAACTGTCTTGAAGCTGGAAAAGTCTCCAACTCTACCTATGCTCCAAGATCTTCATTTTTATGTCCAAGACTTTGGAATTCCTCAATGACTGCATGAATTAGCAGGAGAAAGTGGCAGCTGTCACTCTAGGGCTGACATCTTTTTTCTGATGGGTTCTCTGGGGAGGTTACACCCCACCATGATGAGCCACATCAGACTTCTCACCGCAATGACCACCTCTCACGACAGTGGGGGCAGCCTGCTTCTTCATACTTATGAATACATGAAGTGATTCCGGATTCTTTGGTTGTACATAATTCTGCAATGCTAACTAAAAATTGCTAAAAATAGTAAACTTGGTAGTTCAAGTTCAGACGCCTTTTATTTTCACCAAACACAAAGACACAAAGGCACAGAGTGTATACCAGGTAAAAACAGGCACATATGTCCTATGTATGTTGTAGCATATGTCAGAATTTCCTACAACATGCACGGATGGACGTACACTGACAGGGGTTATCTTACCCACCTCCCTCACAGCCAGCCATGGGTCTGTCCACCCAGCCCCTCTGCCTTTGCCCACACAATTCTCCTCACTGGGAATGCTTCCTCCCTCTCCTCAGCCTGACTAATAACGGACCAGTCAGTATTCATGGCCCCCGGCACGCCCACCTCGGGAAACCAAGCCTGAGCATTCCTCCTCCTCTGAACCACAGCATCAAGTCTGCCTCTCAATGACTGCAGTCTCCACGACTTTCTTTCATGTGTCTCTAGAGCACAAACAGGCTGAACACAAGGACCGAGCCCTCGTCTTCCATCCATACCCACTGCCCAGCACAGCACGAGGCTGAGCTTGCAGGCACCCGAGGAACCTGGCTGCTCCTCCTCAGCACTTGTTCTGCAGAGGCAGATGCTCTGCTATTTAAAGATCTCCCTGTGGACTGGGAGGGCAAGGTCAGAAGGACTCTGTTTGGTGACTTAGGGTCTGAGTCACTGATGTTCTCCCTGTGGAGATATCTAGGCTGCCTGGTAGGAAACTGCTTAGAAGCAGGGCAGAGGCAAGACTGGCCCACAGTGCTGCCCGGAGCCCTGGCCTCTTCCCTCAGGTTGGATCTCAGCATGCCAGCCTTCAGGTTTGTCTCTGGCTTCCAAGCAGCAGACAAAAGCACTGGCAGCTCTAGGGCATATGGAAGGGGACGAGGAGTCTGACAGTCCACAGTGGGGTCCACCATCGGGTCATGATAGCATCTCCAGCTTCCTCTTTCCTACCCCTCCGGCCCTGAGCCACAGGGACAGGATGAGCCGAGTGTGAGGACTAACATAGTTCCAAGGCCAGCCCAAGACCCGGGGACTGGCATTTAAACAAGATGAGGACAAACGGCTGAGGCTGGGGGAAATGACCCTAACCCTGAGTCAGATTCCAGCTCTAAGGCTCCCCTGGACAGCCAGCATGCTGTCTCCTACACACCTACCTGGCCCCCGCCCCTGCCCGCTCAGCTACACGCAGCAAGGGGAACCAGGTACAGCCGTGGCTCGTGAGTGGGCTCGACACTCACCCACTTTGCAATGGGGCAGCCGCGGGAGCTCTTTCCCTCCTTCCCCGTGTAGATGACCTTCTCGATCCGGATGGCTTTCCCCTTCTCTCCATACCTGAAGAGGGAGACAGAAGCCACCATTAGCACAGCAGAACCCCAAAGGAGAACAACTTTTGGTCAGAAGGCAGCCTCAGTGTGCTTTTGTTTGAGTTTCTGGTTGCTGTTGGGGCAACAGAAAAGAAAGAGAAAGGTTTAAATGTCATTTGGTACCTAAAGGCTCTGGAGACACAGTGGCCACTTCCAGGCTTCCAGGTTCACCTGCCCCTTCTCTGCTCCTGCCCATCGGGCCCCCTCTGATCCAGGGCAGAAGGAGAGTCGAGCAGAATGTCCCTGATAGTTACCTCCTAACTCCAGAAGGGAACTGAAACTAAAGGCTAAACACGGGCATTTGTATCTAGCCGTTAGCTGAGTCACCCTGAGAGTTAGCTATTTATAAAAATAACAAATAAAATAAATGGGGGAATCCTTATTATTCTCTTTGAATAATCCCCAGCTGACATTTGACCATGATGATGACAAACAGCTGAGGCTGGGGAGAAGTGGCTCTACTAAGCCCAAACACCAGCTCTGAGGTTCTCCTGGACAGTAAACACATCTGGTTCCTGTACATGCCACCTGCCCTGGCCCCCATACACAGTCAGGGCATCAAAACCCCAGCTCTCCAGGACCGTCTAATCAACCACACTATATTCAAGATGGTGCAACTGCGGCCCCTGGAGTTGAACTGACTTATCCAAGGTCACACAACTACAAAGAGGCAGCAATGGTCTAAGCACAGCCCTTGACGTCAGACAGACTGGGTTTGAGTGCCAGCCCTGCCATTTTCTTACTATATAACTGTGGCCAAATTACTAAACTTCTCTAAGCCTCAGTTTTCTCATCTGTAAAATGGAAATTAAAATGGTCCCCACCTCCTGGGCTTGGTAAAGATCAAACAATAGTCCACAGGGAGTATATTATTTAAAGTACTTTGAAGTTCCTGGCATGAGGGAAGAGTCCAATAAACAGTAATTATTTTTAATAATGTAAAAAATCTTACAGAATCTTATTTTTAACAGTTTTTTAGTTTCAGGTGCAATGTCATATCACCTGCAGATAATGGTCATTTGCCACCTACTCCTTTCTATTCTTTATATCTCTAGCCTGACTCTTGTCTCTCTGAGACGGCCAGGTGCTTTCTTTTTTTTTTTTTTTTGAGACGGAGTCTCACTCTGTCACCCAGGCTGGAATGCAGTGGTGCGATCTCAGCTCATTGCAACCTCTGCCTCCCAGGTTCAAGCAATTATCTGCCTCAGTCTCCCGAGTAGCTGGGATTACAGGCGCCCGCCACCACGTCCAGGTAATTTTTGTATTTTTAGTGGAGACAGGGTTTCACCATGTTGGCCAGGCTGGTCTTGAACTCCTGACCTCATGATCCACCCGCCTTGGCCTCCCAAAGTGCTGGGATTGCAGGTGTGAGCCACGCATGGCAGGCCTGGCCAGGTTTCTGAAGGGCTTGCAGGCATCTCTGCTTACTTCCCAACTTTAACTGAAAATGTTTCCAACAATTCATCACTGAGCATGAAACTGGCTAACTTTGGGAAAGAGACAGATATGAAGGGTGCTACTAAGAGTCTCCTGTCCTAAGGATTTTAATTAAGAATTATTTTTATAAAATGTATTTTTCTTTTGAGACGGAGTCTGGCTCTGTCGCCCAGGCTGGAGTGCAGTGGCGCAACCTCGGCTCACTGCAAGCTCCGCCTCCCAGGTTTATGCCATTCTCCTGCCTCAGCCTCCTGAGTAGCTGGGACTACAGGCGCCCTCCACCTCGCCCGGCTAGTTTTTTTTTTGTTTCTGTATTTTTTAGTAGAGACGGGGTTTCACCGTGTTAGCCAGGATGGTCTCGATCTCCTGACCTCGTGATCCGCCCGTCTCGGCCTCCCAAAGTGCTGGGATTACAGGCTTGAGCCACCGCGCCTGGCCTATAAAATGTATTTTTAACATATAAGGAGACAGATGATTAAATGTTTTTTATTCGATCAATTAACAGCATACTATTTTAACAGCTTGTCTGAATCTAACTATCCTTGTATTTCTGTAATAAATTCAATTTGATCATGGCATGTTATTTTAATATACTATTTCATAGAGCATTAACGTTATCATAGCTTCTACAGTTCAGAATACACATATTCTTTATCTTATCCACTCCACTTCTAGGAATCTCCACCCCACAAATAACTGTACAAATGCACCAAGCTTTAGGAACAAGATAATTCACTGTCTCATCAACAACAGAAAAATGAAACAACTTACATGTCTACCATGAGACTGGTTAAATACATTATAATAAACCTCACCAAAAAAACCATCAATTTTCATGCAATGAAAAACCATGTCCCATCAAAAATGATTAGGTAGAATTGTATGTACTGACATGGAAAGAAATTAAGTGGGGGGAAAAGCAAGCTATAGACAGTGGGCATATTATAATGGACTACATTTGGTTTAAAACTTCTCTATATACATATTTAATACATTTATATCTGTATATATACAAATATCTTTGTAAATGCTTAGAAAATATTGAAAAATAACGTCAAACTTTAGAGCTTTACTTATTCTTTAGACTTTTAAAGCCTTTGGTTCATTTTTGTAATTGAAAAAGAGAACAGAGTTTATAATTTTTTAAAATTAACTAATTAATGTTTTCAAACAAGCTCTTGTCAGCCCACAAAGATTTTTTCAAAATGCTGATCTAAGGTTCCTCTGAGTTCCAAGTTCTCTATTTCACTCAAGATCTTAGCAAAAGGATGAAAAGTGTTTCTGATCATTACAACATTAAAATTCTAAGGCTCTGTTAGTCTCTTACAGAAAGTGTTTGGAGACAGGACTCAGGAGTTTATATAGCGTGGTCTAGATGAAGAGTTAAAGAACACATAATGCTGCTTTTGTCTGGTTCCTGGACAACTTTCATTTCAACAAGCATTTATCAGAAAGCCACCCATAAGGGCAGGGCCTGGGCCCCTGGTGTGTCCTGGAGATCTCTGTCGGGAGAACAGCCTGAGGTGACCACACTCCTCTCGCTGATACGGAAGCACTATCGCGTTCCTCGCAGGAGGGTGAGCTGAGGACACTGCCACCGCTTTCCAACCAGGTCCTTCCCCACCATCCCGCCCCTGTGAGAAATGTGTCCTGCAGTGAACCTCGCATTAGACAAATAAAAGGGCCAAGCACTGTCTGATCAGCTAGACTTTAAAAAAAAACAACAAACAAAACAGAACTGACTGTCTCTTTGTGTTTAAAGACAGCCAATCAACTTTCACTTTAGCTCTTTCTTCTTGAGTGCCTCACTTTTTGGCCTATCATGAAGAGGCCCTTCTAGTATTCAGATTAACTATCAGACCCTCAACTAAGTCTGCATAGATAGCCTGAAATCTTATTCTAAAGGATAACTAATCATCCAAGCCAATCATCTTATTCTAAAGGATAACTGGCTCTTCAAGGGTGGTCCCAGAGCCAGCAGCATCAGAATCCCCTAGAAATTTGGTAGGAATGGAACACAGATTCTCAGGTCCCATCCCAGACCTGCTGGGTCAGAAACTCAGGTGGGGCCCAGTCATCTGTGTTTTAACAAACCCTCTAGAGACTCTGAGGCCCACTGAAATCTGACAACCACTGCTCTGAGGCTTTGCCTGTTCAGGATTGTCTCTATCACACAGTAACAAGACCAGTTTCCCCAAATCTCAGAGAACCTGCTAGCACAGTGTTGGTTCTTTGTTTCTAGAACAAGCTTTTAATGAACTCCTAGGCTGCAGAGAATCTCCTTCCCAGACAGAACACACAAGGCTCTGTGCTGTGCACCGGTCTCAGATACGGGTTTGACAACTGACTCCAATTATCTATGAAGATAAGGACCTGGGTACCCACAAAGTATGAAGCTCATAAATAAGTTGGGAAATTTTAGGATCTGCTTTCAACCTTCCCCTCCTTTCTCCAAATCTTTACTGGAAAAGCTAAGAGAACCAGGTTTTCCTGATTTCAGTTTATTTCCCCTCCCTGCCTTCAGCCAACTCCTGACAGCAGAGCAGTCCTGAAGAGAAAGGGTTGAGGAACAGTCTAGGAAAAGAGACAGCCTAGACCTGCCATTCACAAACTATACCCACCATTCACAAACTAGATCCCTACTCAGGGGATTTGCATCAATCACTCATTACTCCCCTTGTTCCAGAAAGGATCTTATGAAGATATCTACAAGATAAAACTAACAAGTGATGAAATCAGAGTAACGGGCAAAAAAAAAAGGTACGCTGGCATACAAAATACAAACAGTGGGATTTTGTGTGTATTTTTGAGAGACAAGCCTGGAATATCTTGTTATATGAGAAATCCAAAAAAGGCTTGTTAGGGTCATGTCAAAAACAAAACAAAATAAAACAAACAAACAAAAAAACCCAGAGGAATAAACCTGAATAGGTTCTATGGGCCAAAGATGAGAAATTACCTTCCTCCTGATGGGGTGCACAAATCTGGCTCCAAGTTTACTAGCAGGCAACATAAAGATGGAACTGCAATCTGTTACATGATTTGCAAGGTCCTTAAGATAAAAATAAACCAGTTGCTAAGGAAAAACACAAGTATTCCTGGTCTTGAGAGGAATTCCTCCCTTGGATCAGTTTCTGAAGAATCTACAGCTGGCTGTTATTTTTAAAGCAATCAGGGGAAGAAAAAAAGACATATTTCAACCTTATCTTACCAAATTTCAAAGATCTCTTGATCCTTGTTTCAAAATACTTTTCTATAATGAAAAGTTGTTTAAGAGAGCTGTCTGGAAATCTTATAAAATTGTTACCTCAAAATGCCCCAGAACAAAAAACCTGCCCCAGATCAAACTTGTACATTTGACTCCCCTGCAGCAAATGATAGTGTCAGGATTCCTTACAAAAATCACTGGCCCAGAAGCTGCCTGGTCTAATCTGCAAACTACAACACACAGGGATGTGAGCACATGCAGGCAAGCATGACAACACTTACACAGCTTCAAATCTGTCTTATGCTCATTGACTCAGAAGTGCCCTCATACCAGGCTAGAATTTACAGATTGGTGAATATAAATGTTCCCAGATGGTCTAGGAAATTAAGAGTGATGACAGTAGATCACTGTCCTCCATGTATCTTGCTTTTCATTTATTCAGAGAAGCTGTTGTAGTCATTCAGTTCAAAATCATGTTCTGTGCTACACAGACAAGAGTATCTGGCTCCTTGCCAGGCACGGTGGCTCATGCCTGTAATCCCAGCACTTTGGGAGGTCAAGGCGGGCGGATCACCTATGGTCAGGAGTTCGAGACCATCCTGGCCAACATGGGGAAACCCTGTCTCTGCTAAAAATACAAAAATTAGCGGGGAGTGGTGGCATACCTGTAGTCTCAGCTACTCGGGAGGCTGAGACAGGAAAATTGCTTGAAACTGGGAGGTGGAGGTTGCAGTGCACCGAGACCATACCACTGCACTCTAGACTGGAGGACAGAGCAGATTCCATGTCAAAAAAATAAATAAAAAGTATTTGGCTCCCATGGTCAGACAAAATCTGGTTCCCAAATCTGCAGCAACTCTAAGCCACGCAGCTTTTCACGTATTTGTATGTATATGTATGGGCAAGCATATGCTTATGTCTACATCATCTTAGCTTTTATTATTAAAATACTAACGCAGCCGGGCGTGGTGGCTCACGCCTGTAATCCCAGCACTTTGGGAGGCCGAGGCAGGTGGATCATGAAGTCAGGAGATCAAGACCGTTCTGGCTAACACGGTGAAACCCCGTCTCTACTAAAAATACAAAAAATTAGCTGGGTGTGGTGGCGGGCGCCTGTAGTCCCAGCTACTCGGGAGGCTGAGGCAGGAGAATGGCGTGAACCCGGGAGGCGGAGCTTGCAGTGAGCTAAGATTGCATCACTGCACTCCAGCCTGGGCTACAGCATGACTCCGTCTCAAAAACAAAACAAAACAAAAACTAATGCTTATTTGAAAAAATGCAATTAGTGCATTTGTCTGTGAGGTAGTTAATGACTGTCTACCTTTTCTGTAGTACTCATGACAAGCACTAAGTCTTTCCACACATTAATTCAGTTTATCCTCACGACACTCCTACAGTCTAAGTATTTCTATCATCAACTCTATTTTGCAGATAAGAAAACTGAGTCACAGAAGAGCAGAACAACTTGCTAGGGACTCAGTAGTGAGTGGCAGGGCCAGGACTGCGCCTCAGTCTGGCTCAAGTCCCTGCTGTCAGTCCCGGAGCCACAGACTGGAACTCAGAGAGTTTACTAACTGCTGTGGACATGCACATGGGTTTCCAAGTCTCCATCTATATGAACTGCTCAAAAACCACAACTAGTAAACAGAAACCCTAGAGTCCTGAATTTGAATTGGGAGTGTCAATATAAACTCATGATGTATGTAATCACTAAGCAATAACAAGAATGAAAAATCCATAGATTCAACATAGCTCTTTCTACTTAAGCAGCCTAAAAACAATGAACAACCCCGTGTAGTCATGAGTGCCCCTAGTAGGCAGAGTCTGTTTTCTAAATACTTTTTCCTCCAAGAAAAAGAACTGGGACTTCTTGGATAAATGTACGTGAACCCAGGATATCTTGTCATATGAGAAATCAAGAAAGTTATGAAAGACTCCTATGATCCTGTCCAAAGGATTTAGGGGACAACCTGAGTAGGTTCCCACTGGCCAGGAGTGAGACATGACATTCCTCTTAGGGGAGGTAAAAAATTCTACCTATGAGGCAGTTTTGGAAAAAAAGGAAAAACAACCTGATCCCAATCAGGGCTTTTGGTCTAACTACCAATTTACAGGACACAGAGGCATGCGAAACATTATAAATGACACCACAATACCACGGGAAAGCTGTCAGCAAAATTCAGGCTGTAGGAAACTAACTCTACAGGACATAGAGCCATATAACCATGTTTCTTCAATAAAAACATTTCAAGATAGAGAGAAGCAGGGGTACATGAATTGGGCAGACCTACAGAATGAAAGAAACCCAGAAACAATGGAAGTGAGGATCCCACAGTCAGCCTTCCATAACCCAGTTATCAGGGCTTCCTTTCTGTATGCTTTCTATTACAAGGCAATGAAAAATGAGAGGTGCTTAATATCCACGTTCCATTAACAGCACACCCGTTTCTCCTTGGACATCTGTGTATCACTCACCGCTCCTCCATGAGTTCCCGGATAGAGGCGACTGTGGGGCCAGATCCCAGGTGAGTATAATATGGACCTTCATCTTTCTCCACTATTTGTTCTGCAGAAACACAAAGAGTAAACATTTTTGGAATATTAGTTAGTTAATATTAATTTAGAAAGGCAAACCACCAACAGGAAAGTTAACAGGCATGCTAGAAAACAGGAAACCCACATGCTTATGAACATGTGAAAAGGTGTTCAACTCCAGTAGAAATCAGGAAATACACATTAAAATCACAATAAAACACCATCACACATGGACCAAATTGGCAAAAATTTAAAACTCTGATAAAACCAAGTGCTGTCTGTGATCTAAGCACTTTGGGATTCCGCCTACCACTGTCCAATAAAGCTAAAGAGTTGCATCCTGCATGACCCAGTAATTCCATTTCTATACACACACTCAAGACCAGCAGTCAGCAAGCTACTCTCCTCCAGTGAGCCACCGCACCCGGCCAAAAACATTTTGTTAAGTGACAGAAGCCCTCCTGGGTAAATACCCAACCAAACTGAAGACAGAGGCTCAAACAGATACTTGTATGCCAATGTTCAGAGCAGCATTTATTCACCACAACTAAAAGGTGAAAACAACATAACCATCCATCAGCAGGTGGTTGGATATATGAAATGTGTATGTCCATATGACGGAATATTAGCCAAAAAAGGAATGAAGTTTTGATACATGTTATTACATGGATGAACCTTAAGAACATTATGCCAAGTAAAAGAAACCAGACACAAAGGACAAATACTGTAGGATTTCACTGATATGAGTTATCTAGAAGAGGCAGGTTCCTGGAGACAGAAGGTAGATGAGAGGTTTGCAGGGGCTGGGAGGAGCAGGAAACGAGGGGTTATTGCTTAATGGGACAGAGTTTCTGTTTAGGCTGGTGAAGTTTTGGAAACAGATAGTGATGACAGTTGCACAATATTGTGAATGTAATTAATGCCACTAAACTGTACACATAAACATGATCAAAATGGCAAATTTAAGTTATACATACTTTACCACAATTTAAATAAAAGAAGTTCTGATACATGCTACAATATGTATGAACCCTGAAAACATTTTTTTTTTTTTTTGAGATCGAGTTTTGCTCTTGTTGGGGTGCAATGGCGTGATCTCGGCTCACTGCAACCTCCGCCTCCCAGGTTCAAGTGATTCTCATGCCTCAGCCTCCCAAGTAGCTGGGATTACAGGCATGTGCCACCACACCCGGCTAATTTTGTATTTTTAGTAGAGACAGGGGTTTCACTATGTTGGCCAGACTGGTCTTGAACTCCTGACCTCAGGTGATCCACTCACCTCGGCCTCCCAAAGTGCTGGGATTACAGGTATAAGCCACTGTGCCCCACCAAAAACATTTTGTTAAGTGAAAGAAGCCAGATACAAAACAGGTCACACATTGTACGCTTCCATTCATATGAAATACTCAGAATAGGTAAATCTATAGAAACAAAAAAGCAAATTGGTGGTTGTTGCCAGAGGCTGGGGGCTGGGGGTGTGTGGGTAGGAATGAGGAGTAACTGCTTAATGGGTACAGGGTTTTTTTTTTTTCCGAAAAATTTTAAATATTTTAAAATATCATGAAAATATTTTAAAACTGGAGGGAGATGTGGTTGTATAATATTGTGAATGTACTAAATGCCACTGAATTGTTCACTTTAAGATGGTTAATTTTATGTGAAGCTCAACTCAACTTGTAAAAAGGAACAAACCATTCATGTAACAACACGGATGAATTTTAAATGAGTTTTTCTAAGTGAAAGAAAATAGACTCAAAAGGCTACATAGTAGCTGCTTTGGAAAAGAGTGGTTTGGCTGGATATTAGGAGGCTAAAAACAAAAAAACTCTACACACAGTGTGCACCTACTGTACTACAGCTGGCAAGTTTGCTTCATATCTAAGATACGACAATTACATGTAATAGAGTATCCTACACTGGGTCCTATGACAGAAAAAGGACCATTGGTGGAAAAACTGATGAAATCCAAAAAGTCTGTAGTTAACAGTACTGTACCAACATTAATTTCTTCATTTTAAATATACCATAATTACGTAAGACATTTACAAGCAAGAGAAGGTATATAAAGTATATACAGGAACTCTCTGCACTAACTTCGTAACTCTCCCATAAATGTAAAATTATTTCAAAATAAAGTATTTAAAAAGTAAAAGAAAAAAACAGACAGTGAGCCATAATTTGCTGATCCTTAGGAGAAATCATAGTCACACACATTAAATCCCACATACAAAGATTTTCACATCAACACAGTCTGCAAAGAGTCAAAGCTGTAGACAGCCTGCTGTGGACTGAATGTTTGTGTCCCTCCCAAATTTGTATGTTGAAGCCTAATCCCCAATGGGAAAGCATTCGGAGGTAGGGCTTTGGGGAGGTAATTAGGGCAAGAGGGTGGCACCTTCCTGAATGGGACTAATGTCCTTATAGGAAGGGATACCAGAGAGCTTGCTTCCCCTTCCCTCTCCCCTCCCTGGCTACGTGAAGATATAGCGAGGAGGTGGCTGTCTACATGCTAGGAGGGGGCCCTCGATGGACACTAGACCTGCTGGTGCCTTGATCTTAGAATTCTCAGCCTCTAGAGCTGTGAGAAATCAATGTTCACTGTTTAAACCACCCAGGCTATGGGATTTTTTTTTTTTTTCTAGAGACAGGGTCTTACTCTGTTGCCCAGACTGGAGTGCAATAGCACGATCACAGTTCACTGCAGCTTCCACCTCCCAGGCTCAAGTGATCCTCCCACCTCAGCCTCCTGAGTAGCTGGGACTACAGGTGTGCACCACCATGCCTGATAAATTTTTGTATTTTTTGTAAAGACAGGGTTTTGCCATGTTGCCCAGGCTAGTCTCCAACTCCTGGGCTCAAGCAATCTGCCTGCCTCGGCCTCCCAAAGTGCTAGGAGTACAGGCTTGAGACACTGGGACTCGCTGGTATTCTTGCTAAAATAGTCCAAATAAAGACACAACTCGTAATTCAGCAACAGTGGAATGGATTTCTCTTGAAATGCAGTAGTCATATTATGGAATATATTCAGCAATGAAAATCAGAAACCTGCAACAGCATGGTTGACTACAACAGCACCGTGAGTGAAAGCAGCACAACACAGATGATATGGTCTAGCTGTGTCCCCACCCAAATCTCATCTTGAATTGTAGCTCCCATAATTCTGTGTTGTGGGAGGGAGCCGGTGAGAGAGAACTGCATCATGGAGGCAGTTTCCCCCATACTGTTCTCATGGTAGTGAATAAGTCTCAGGAGATCTGAAGGTTTGATAAGGGGAAACCCCTTTCACTTGGCTCTCATTCTTTCTCACCTGCTGCCATGTAAGACATGCCTCTTACCATGATTGTGAGGCCTCCCCAGCCATGTGGAACTGTGAGTCCATTAAACATCTTTTTCTTTATAAATTACCCAGTCTCAGGTACGTCTTTATCAGCAATGCGAAAATGGACTAATACAGCAGAATACAGTTAAGATTCCATTTAAATGATATTCAATAACAGACTCAAACTATACTAAGAGATCTATACATAGTGAGTAAAAACTACTAGGTTGAAACATGAAATTGCAGACAGTCAATGATTTTTGACCTATCAAAAATGATAATTTTATATGGTTCAACTTCATACAAAGAAAAGCAGGGAAATTACTGTCACAAATGTGAGGAAAAGAAAGATCAGACTGTTACTGTGTCTCTAGAGAAAGAAGTAGACATAAGAGACTCCATTTTGTTCTGTATTTGAGATGCTGTTAATCTGTGACCCTACCCCCAACCTTGTCCTTGCAAGAGACATGTGCTGTGGTGACTCAAGGTTTAATGGATTTTGGGCTGTGCAGGGTGTGCTTTGGTAAACAAGTGCCTGAAGGTAGCATGCTTGTGAAAAGTCATCATCATTCTCTTAATCTCAAGTACCCAGGGACATGTACACTGCCAAAGGTCGCAGGGACCTCTGCCTAGGAAAGCTAGGTATTGTCCAAGGTTTCTTCCCATGTGATAGTCTGAAATATGGCCTCGTGGGAAGGGAAAGACCTGATCGTCCCCCTGCCTGACACCCGTGAAGGGTCTGTGCTGAGGAGGACTAGTATAAGAGGAAAGAAGCCCTCTTGGCAGTTGAGATAGAGAAAAGCATCTGTCTCCTGCCCGTCCCTGGGCAATGGAACATCTCAGTGTAAAACCCGATTATATGTTCTGTTTACTGAGAAAGGAGAAAACCGCCTTAGGGCGAAAGGTGGGACATGCTAGCGGCAATGCTGCTCTTTATGCACTAAAAAGGTTTATGGAGATGTTTACATATGCATATCAAGGCACAGCACTTTTCCTTAAACAGAGATCTTTATTCATATGTCTTACTGCTGACCTTCTCCCTACGATGATCCTATTATCCTGCCACTTCCCTTTTTCTAAGATGGTAAAGATAATGATCAATAAATACTGAAGGAACTCAGAGACCCATGCAGAGATCCGTGCTGTGCAGGAGTGGGTCCTCTGTATGCGGAGCGCTGGTACCCTGGGCTCCCTTTTTCTTTCTCTATACTTTGTCTCTGTGTCTCATTTCTTTTCTCAAGTCTCTCGTTCCACCTAACGAGAAACGCCCACAGGTGTGACGGGGCGGGCCACCCCTTCAACAAAAGTTAAGAGAATGGTTACTTCTGGGGGATGGAAGAGGAATGTGGTTAGAAAGGCATACAGGTCTGGGCATGGTGGCTCACACCTGTAATCCCAGCACTTTAGGAGGCCGAGGGGAGAATCACTTCAGTCCAGGAGTTTTGAGACCAGGCTGGGCAACATAGTGAGACCTTGTCACTACAAACAAACAAACAAACAACAGTAAAAACCTAGCCAGGCTTGTTGGTATGTGCCTATAGTCCCAACTACTTGGAAAGCTGAGGCAGGAGGATCACTTGATACCAGGAGTTCAAGGCTGCAGTGAGCTATGATCGCACCACTGCACTCCTGCCTGGGTGACAGAGCAAAGACCCTGCATCAAGGATCAAGGAAAAAAGATAAATAAACAAGAAAGGGCATAGAGGTGACTC